TGCAGAGCTGACAGCTCAGGGCATGTGGGTGGGCACAGTGTCTGCCACAGGGTAGGCCTCTGGGCTGGATTTGGGGGATGAACTAAACCTCTCAGATGAGGACTGAGGCAGTCGGTGGTGACAAGCCTAGGAAGAAAGGGGAAGCAGGAGGGAGCAGGAGGTGATGGAGCAGGGAGAGAGTCAGCCAGTGACCACCCTGAACTGGTGGCTTTGAGCTTTTAGAAGGGAGAAAGGCAGGCCAAGACCAAGGCAGAATGAGGAACGTCATGGAGGTGGTATGGCTAGGAGAGAGGCTGAGGAGTGATGGGAATTAGGCAGAGTGGAAAGCCATTTCCTCCTACCATCCTGAAGGACTGGGGCTCTGTCCCTCTGTCATAGATAGGAAGTCAATGAAACCAGAACAGGACAGGCCTGCCTGACCCCTTAGCAGGATGCCTCCAGTGAACAGCCTGCAGGGCAGGGTGGACACAGGGAGGCCAGCCAAGTGGCCAGTGCCACAGTGCATGGAGATGGGACCATAAGGAGAGGGGGATTGTGGGTGTGATCTGAAGGAAAACTGGGCATGACCGAGGGTGATTGCAAGAGGTGTTGAACAAGTGCACCCACAAAGATTTACCAGGTGCCATGCTACTGAGGAAAAGCCTGGGGAACCACAAGGGAGAGTCCCAGGCTGTCTTCAGGGAACAGGTTTCCTGGGGAAATGGCAGTTGAGCTGGACCTTGAGGGATGAGGTTGAGCTGGACCCTGAGGGACGGGGAGAAGGCAGCCATGCAGGGGCAGGGGAAACAGAATCTATGGCCCAGGCAAAGGAGGTGCTGCCCGTGGACTGGAAGTCAAGACAGTCCACAGCATCTGGGCTGTAGCCCTGGTCTGTGACCTGCCTGGGAGTCCTGCATGGTGGGCCCCAACCTTTCCCCTTGCCATGACAGCTATTAGGTATCTGCTGATGGTCTCCTCCTATCTCATTGTCTGTTGGACCCAGATTGGGAGTAGGGCTTACCCAAAGCCAGGCCCAGACCATCATAGCAGAAGAGTTGTTGCAGAGATTCAGTATCTGGTGGCCACGTGGCCTTCAACAGCACGGCCCTGCAGGTGGCAGTGTGGAGCAGCTCAGGGTGCTCTACTGGCGAATGTCCACTCTGGATGGGGGACAGCTGTATGAAGATGCTGCTGTTATCTCAGGGCTGGCCCAGGTTGGGGAGAAATCTACTCTCACCCTCTGGGTCAAACTACTGAGAAGCCAGCCCTCGGGCATGAATGTGGCTAGTGTGGCCACCCTGGCCTGCTCTGGGCCCCACATGCTGGCCTCTCTCTTTCCCAACCAACCACCTGCTCTCCCAGCCATAGAAAATTCAATACTGCTTCTGGCCAAAGAGAAAGGACAGTGGAATGTGCCCTTTAGGACCTCCTTCTGTCCTGTTGAGATTCCACTCCTGGGATCAAGAGTCTCCTTTGTGGTGGTTTCTCCAAAATTCATGGCTTTTCAGACTGAGTCCAAGATCTTATTGCAGGTAGACTCAGAATTTTGGAATGCAAAAAGTGTTTTTGTCTCTGCCTCCCTTCAGCCTAACTGTGGGCAATATCTTGTCTCTGTAAATAGACTAAGGTCACAGCACAAAACTCATGAAGCCATTGTGTCATGGCCCAACAAGGCCCCATATCTAATCCGGAGGCCCGTCACCTGCATCAGCCAATATTCCATGACTGCTTGGCTGTTTAGGAACACCTGTGAGTCAGGAGCAGCAGGCTAGAGCCCCACCCTGCAGGAGTGTTTCAGATTTTCACTGCTGTGACCAAAAGACCTGACAGAACAATTGGAGGAGGAAAGGTTTATTTGGGGGCTCATAGTTTCAGAGGACTCAGTCCACAGAAGGCCAGCTCCATTCCTCAGGGCTCAAGGTGAGGCAGAACATCATGGTGGAAGTGTGTGTGTGTGTGTGTGTGTGTGTGTGTGTGTGTGTGTGGAGAGAGAGAGAGAGAGAGGCAGGGAATATACGCCCCAGGAACCACCTCCTCCAGCCATATCCTACCTGCCTGTAGTTACCACCAAGTTAATCCCTATCAGGATAAATGCACTGATTAGGTTAAACCTCTTATAACCCAATCATTTCACCTCTAAACATTCTTGCATTGTCTCCCACATGAGCTGTTGGGGACACCTCCCATCCAACCCTAACTAGGAGGAAGTTGGCACCCACCTAGGACTATGAATAGCAGCTTGCCCAGATGAAAATGTTCTGAAGTGTATCAAGCACCTCAGATCCATGAATCATAACCGTGGTTGGGTTTTTTGGTGTTTTTTTTTTTAGATGTTTTTTATGAAGTTCCTGAGAAGATAAAATTGATCTTTGTGCCTCTTTCTCATAACATTTTTTTTTCCTAAATCAGAAGAGCAAAAGAGTGGCATGGGCGGTATTCTCGTCTCACACGTAGACTTCCTAATGATTCTTTCAAATTTAGACACAGACCAGGAAGTTTCTCCACTTGTGATCATGATGGGCAGATGTCTGGAGGCCTGGGCTGGTCCCACAGTTGAGGGGTCCCCAATGGAACTTGATCATGAATTTCTGGCTCCTTCTCACAAATCTCCCTTAAAATTCCTTCCACCCTCAGCCAAAGGGAGACACCGTGATGTGCCACTATGGTTCGTGTTTTATCGTCACAGCCCGTCAGGTTTCCAGTGGCCCCCAAGTTCACACCTGTTTCCCTCTATGAACTCCCAATAGAGGCAGAGCACGTGGGCTCAGAAAACAATACCCCAAAATATGCTGCTTTAGACTTCAAACTGAGAGCTCTTGGGGAGCACAGCTGCAGGGAGGGGCTTTCTCTGAAGTTCCTTTATCTGCCTAAAGACCAGATTTGCCAGAAAGGAACACAGTTGACTTCCAATCTTATTGATGTTCCATTCCCTAGGAATCTCAGAGTTGAGATTATACGTGCGCATCCCAAAGCCTACGGAGCCCAGGCCTGATGGGCAAGACCTACCTGATCACATCTGCTTTTCTGTATAAAGATTGTCCTCTGACTGCACAGGAAGAGACTGAAAATCAGACACCACACTCAGAGCCCAGAGGAACTTTGTCCCAGACCATTGATTGTTCCCAGGCTCGTTCTCTCCCCTGAAAATTCTTTCTCCCCCCTGTCGGATCCCCCTTCACTTCCCTCTCTCCTGTGATGAGAGTATTTCAGCCTCAGCCATCTGACCCCTCTTTGAGTTTCATATTTTGTTTAGCACCTGTGTACTTTAAATGAATGCATCTGCCGCTTCTGTCTATTGCCAGTTTACTATTGCACAGCAGACTCCGCTACCCAACCAGGGGGAAAGTTTGAACTTGCTGACGAGCACAATCATATTCAATACCTTTAGGCTTGAAGCAAAAACGCCAGGACCACCTCTCCCTCATCTTCAATGCATGTGCTCAGTTCTTAAGAGCACGTACTCGAGCTGTGAGATTCCATCCTGTACAATGAGTTGCTTCTATAGGGAAGAGCATCACCCTGTAACACAGCACCTGGTAGAGACATTGACATTTCTCTACCATTCAATGACATTTCTCATTCATTCAACCCAAGTGTTGGGTGCATATTCTGTGCAAAGCACAGCATTAGGGACAGGAACCCAGAGACTGCTGAGGGGGCTCACTCTGCTAAGGCAAAGACTCTGATACAGGGTGGCTCACTCTAATTGTGCAGCAAGGGAGGCTGGTTCTCAAAGAGGGAGTGAGGATGATTCCTAAGCCTTCTCTGCTGTCAAAGAAGAAAACTGCAAATCCCATTTCCCCTAGAGTTAAGGACCAGTCTTTCCAATGCACTGGTCCACAGTAAAGCCCTTCTCAAATGTCTTTTATATCTCCTTGGCCATCTTTTTCTTTTTGATATCAGAGATTGAACCCAGGGGCCCTTAACCAGGGAGCCACATCCTCAGCCCTTACATTTTTTATTTAGAGACAGAGTCTCACTAAGTTGCTTAGGGCCTCACTAAGTTACTAAACCATGCTTTGAACTTGTGATCCTCCTGCCTCAGCCTCCCGAGCCACTGGGATTAGGGGCATGCACCACTGAGCCTTGCTGACTGTTAGGATGTTCACGCCCACAGGATCCCACTCATCTCCCTTTTTCTTCTGAGCCCTCCTGCTGTTCCCCATGGACATGGGGACTCTCCATGAGAGTAGTGAGTGTGGCCGTCACATGGGGAACCTAGTGCATAGACCTCTTTCCATCGCTCAAGTATCATTTACCACGCTTCCAGAACCTAAAAAGCATGGTTTTATGTGAAACCAGGTTCCCATGCACACCCCATTTCTTTTCATGAGTTTGACTCTTAACTTTTAAAACTCAGACAGAAAGCCTGCTCTTCTTGCTGGGCCTTTGAAAGTAGCAATAACTCATCCCCGCACCTTGCCACTTACATCATTCCTCTCCAAAGGACTTTCTTCTCCCTCTTTGCCTGGGTACAAATTTCCTTTATGCAGAAGAACTTTAAATCAGAAAATCTACAAATGATGAAAGCGCCAGCCACAGTTTATTTCCTTTATGTATCAATAGTGAAAATGTACCATTTTCCCCAAAGCTGACTTTTTTAAAAAATGTTTTTTAGTTGTAGGTGGATACACTACCTTTATTTTATTTGTATGTGGTGCTGAGGATCGAATCTAGGGCTCCACGAGTACTAGTTCTACTGCTGAGCCACCACCCCAGCCACTCCCCAAAGCAGGCTTTTACATCCCGGAATTAGAACTGACGTGCCCTTGCCTGATTCCTGGGTTAACCAGGTGTGGAGTTGAGACAGGGAAGGGCAACCTTCCGCCTCTTTGCAGACTTGCCCTTGGGGAGCACAGCCCCTGCTGTAGGAGCTGCATCCGGCTCTCAGACTCTTTTTTCTCCCCTTCCCACCTCCCACCTTCCCACTGGCATCAAACTTGGATTCCAGGTGCTGTTTTCTGTCACTCTTTCCTTGGAAAAATGACCAATGGCCTTTCATGTCTGTGCTTGTTGTTTAGAAAGCCAAGCTTGGCCCTGCGGGTAACAAAGTGATCAGTCCTTCTGAGGACAGGAAACAACCTTCCAACAACCTGGACAGAGTGAAGCTCACCGACTTCAATTTCCTCATGGTGCTGGGGAAGGGGAGCTTTGGGAAGGTAAGAAGTGGAGGGGCTTGCGCAGAGAGTGGTGGGTTGGTTTGGTTCTCCCTGAAGTTTCCAGAATAGCCCTTTAGACCTCCCTGGGTATTTGTACATGTTCCTCAAATGCTTCCTACTTCTTATGATTAAAAACAACTGTATCCAAAGCACTGACAGCAGGTTCTTATGTGTCACCTGTTCAGAACAGAGAGGATGTTCCAAAATGTTAGTTGAATAATCTGCACAACTGAAAATTAAATGTGAGGTCATACAAGTTCTGGAAGAATCTAATTTGTGGTGATGCACAACATTTCCAAATTTGTATGTAACGTTGGTATTCGTTTTTCATCAGTATAATGAAATGCTTGAGTCAATTCACTGATAAAGAGAAAAGGTTTATTTTTAGCTCATGGTTCTGGTCCATGATTGAGTGGCTCTGTTGCTTTGGTCTCTGGTGAGGCAGCACTTCATGGTGGGGCAGTCTCCTTGCCTTGTCAGCCAGGAAACTAAGAGAGAAAAAAAAAAAACGAAGAAACTGGAATCTCACAGATCCCTTCAAGGACATGACATTCCCCCAAAAAACCAAGGACTTCCACCACTTCCCAAAAGCATCACCCTGGGGACCAAAAGCCTTTACACAGGACCTTCAAGGGACACTGCAACATGTAGCAAAAATTAGCTAAGCAGTTTCCTATCCCACGGTTCAGACTTGCAGCTGGCCCAGTTCTTCCCGTGTTCAGGTTGCTCTGGGTCTGTTCCCAGGTGATGCTTGCTGACCGGAAGGGAACAGAAGAACTGTATGCCATCAAAATCCTGAAGAAGGATGTGGTGATTCAGGACGACGACGTGGAGTGCACCATGGTGGAGAAGCGGGTCCTGGCCCTGCTTGACAAGCCCCCGTTCCTAACACAGCTGCACTCCTGCTTCCAGACGGTGGTAAGGCCCCGGGGCTGCGTCTCAAGGCCTGGTGCCCACCTGCCCTCAACATCCCTGGGAGAGACAGGATGGAATGCCAAGCCCAGGGGACAGGGACAGGTCCCACCCCCCTGGCAATGGCAGATTTGGGTCATCCCCCTCTGTGATGGCCTCTGCTTGGACACTCATTCCATTTAATTCAGCAAACATTTACAGTGGGCCTCTCCTTCCTGGGGCTCTGCATCCTTCATGGGTTCCACCAACCAAATGGGAGATATTTTTTAATTCGCATCTGATGTACAGCCACTCTCCCTGGCATTAGATCCTAAGCAATGCCACCCAGCAGCTCTTCACCCAGCGTTTGCGTTGTGTTCAGGACTGTAAGTGCGTAGAGAGGATGAGAGCCTGCGGGGGGGGGCTCCCTAGGTTATATGCTGACATACCATTTTATATAAGGGACTTGAGTATCCAAGGATTCGGGTGTCCTGGGGGTGGGAGGGATCCTGGAGCTGGTCCCCCACAGGTACAGAGAGGTGGCTGTATATGAAAGGTTTCCTCATGTCAGACACTATGCTAAGATTTATGGGGTTCAAAAAAGTTAAGAATCAATTCACAGTCCTACCTCTAGACTGACAACTTGTCCAGCTGCCATGCATGGCATTGGGACCTCAGGAAATGCCATTTTATAAAAACGTGTGTTTGTTTCAGACACTCAACGAGAGTGGCAAACTAGGACCAGCCTTGTATGTCCCCTGAGCTGTAAGAAAGGTTACAAAAAAGAAATCCAAACACAGTATTTCATGATATGTGGAAATTAGATGAAATTTATATTTCAGCATGCATAAATTGTTTTCTAGGGACACAGCCCCACTCCGTCACTTACCTGTCCCCTGTGGCTGCTTTCATGCTAAGACGTTGGAGCTGAGTAGTTAGTTACAAGTATTTCACAAAGCCTGAAGTACTTATCGTCTGACCTTTTATGGAAAAGGTCTACTAACCCCTATCATAGAGCAAAACGTTTTGGAAGGGGTGGGCAGAATCCCAAAGCACTGATCTTTCAGCTGTGGGGTTGGCAATTGTCCTATAAGAAATCGAGACATTTAGACGGCACCAGGTGGGCTTTCCCTTTAAATATGGCTCAATGGTCAGTGATCATTATGGTTGGGACAGTTACTATTTCCAACCGCACCATGGTCAGAAATCGACTTGGTGTCTTATGTCTGTCTTTAAAAAACCCTGGGAAGAGCCCTCATGCTTTGGGCCTGTAGAATCTCAAGATGGCCACAGAGTCACACCGTGTCAGCGCTCCAAGGCTGCAGAGCTGGGCGCCAGCCACTGTGTGTCAGCTGTGCTCTGGCCACACCCGGGGCTCCTGCTCTCAGCAGAGCCCAGACTCCCCGCCCCAGGAGTGGCAAGGAGGGCTGAGCAGCAAGATGGGAAGAGAAGCAAACCCCTAAATCCCAGCCCAGCTGCCGTCACCCCGCTCACACCAATTAAGCTCCAGAAAGCTACGAAGCAAAGACACGAAGCCGAAATTGAAGTTTCTAACTGAAGAGCCAGAGAGTGACGCTCCCCGAGCCGTTTCCTGGCTCTCAGCACCGGCTTCACTGTGCTGCCTTTCTCCCTGAGCAGCACTTTAATGTTTAATAACCTCTGTGTAAAGGGGATGTTCTCTAGCAGAGAGCAGAGGTCAGCTTTTACCTCCGTGTGTTGAGATGTTAGCTGCTCAGCCTCTCCCATCTGGCCCAGCGTAATGTCCTCATAAATATGCACACTTCTCTGGATGTACGATGAATGCCCTGCGTGTGGCCAACACCTCATATACCAGTAACAGAGAAAATGAAAATATAGGATTTGGGGACCTAGTGGTTACCAAAGAACATTGGATTAACCTCTCCTGTTATGGTCCTCCCTCTCCCCTACCTGACAGATGTCATTAAGCAGGTACAATTTAGAAGCCCAGCCTAACCCAAAGGGTGAGTTTTCAGAAGATCCATTTGAGCACATTACCACAGCAGCATGCCACCCTCCTTGACATTGCAAACCAAGTTTTACACACTTGCATCATCAAGAAACATTGGTGGGAATGAACTGATTAGCCCATGTGGATTCCTCACAGTGCTCCTGGCTGAGAAATATATTATACATGTAGGAAAAAAAGGAAGAATGTTTGAGGCCGTTACTGTAATGAGGAATGTATGTAACCAGGAGGCAGACAGCCATTAGTTCAGAGTTATGTAATGAGCGTCCATCCCAAGGCCCTTGTGCAGGAGGGTATATCATTTATTCTTTAGCTGGGAAAAAAATGTGAAGGGCTTCAAACTGAGCAGATCTGCCAGCACAGCCCAAGTTTGACTAATGAGGATGCAAACCGGGCTACCTATGGGGAAGGATCCCTGCTCACGTTTACACCTTTGTCTGCAGGATCGGCTGTACTTTGTCATGGAGTACGTCAATGGCGGGGACCTCATGTACCACATTCAGCAAGTAGGAAAATTTAAGGAGCCACAAGCAGTGTGAGTATTTTTTTTTCAATCCTTTTTTTCAGGTGGCCCAGTACTATCAACTGGGAACTTCTACTAGATTGGATGTCCAAGATGGCCCTGCTCATTTGGGAAACTTCCCAAGGGAATAGATGTGTTAACAGGTCCCTTCTAGATGTTTCCACAGGAGCTGTTTATTCTGTTGCCAGTAAATTGGAGATGCTGGTGCATACGCACGCCACCCTGTGCCACCCTGAGGGGTAGAGTCCCTCACTGCTCATTGAGCGAATGAGTATTGCACACTCGCGGTGTACCAGGCACTCGACACGTGAGGATGAGGTTCCTCCTCCCTGGGAAGCTCGTGCTCCAACCTGGCCTTTGAGAAGTCACAGAAAATTATAATGCCTGGCTCCAACTGTAGGGAAATGCCCAGAACACCACCCAAGCCCCCAGAATTGGGGATTGAGAGTAGCAAGTCTTCAGGTAATGCCCAACCCAGAGACAGGCAGGCCAGGAAGAGGATGTGGACAGAGGAGAGACCAAGTCCAGGCCTGTGGCTCAGCAGGTGGTGTGAGCTGGGAGAGGGCACAGGCAGGGAGGGGGGCTGAGAAAGAGGACAGAGGGGAGGGGCTTCACTGGGACTCGACCCCATGAGACCAAGTTCTCACAGCACCCTCTGGCTGAAGAGAGGAGTGGGGTTGGGCAGGAGGAATGTAGGGGCTGGTACAAAGGGGTCAGTAGGAATCTTTTTAAGCAGAAGAAATGGAGCTAGAATTAGGGCTTCAGCTTGGAGCCAGAGAGAAGCAAGTGTCCTGGACAAACATTCTGGAGGAAGAAAAGCAGAATTCAGTGACAGAAACGTTTGTCTGTCATGTCCCATCTCAGGCTTGGGTGAGGGCAGGATGTGGTTTGCAAGGAAGGAACGCAAGCTCAGCTTGGAGTGTTCCTGTGGGATGTGCCTTGGAGGCTGGGATCAGGAGCGGAGCCACGGGCTCTGTGTGGGGAAGGAGGAGTCATCATGGGTCGGAGGAGGGACTTTGATACCTGGAACACTGTCCCATTTCTCAGGGGCCAGGAAGTCCCTGGAAGCTCAATGGAAGCAAACCTAAGCAAATGGCTATTTTATTTCCCCAAATTAGATGTACACCCCACTAATCAAGTTAGCCCACATGAACAGGAGTCCGGCCACTGTTCATCTAAAAAGATAAATCAGAGCAATATTTGGCCTGTGTGGGATTATCTGCCCTAGGAGAGATTAACTGAAGGCACAATAGGGAATTCTTTGGTAGCAAGCTTTAAAAATATAAAGGGGATTTTTTTTCTGCTTTTATTTGTTCTTAAATGTGTTTTAGAAATGCCTGCCTTATCTCCTCCCTTAACATTGTGAGTTATAGAGCATTAAAATGCTCAGATTGCAGAATAAAGCTTTAGAGCACAGAGCTGTAAGAGCAAATAGCCACTTTATTTTCTTCTCTTCCCTCCCCCCCTCTACCTCCCCACCCCCGGACTGGGGATTGAATCCAGGGGCTCTGTACCATTGTGCGACATCCAAGCCCTTTTTATTCTTTGAGGCTCACTAAATTGCCTAGGCTGGCCTGGCACTTGTCATCCTCTGCCTCAGCCTCCTGAGGTGCTGGGATCACAAGAGGGCACCTTGTGTCATAAAACAACATAAACATGCCTTGCCCAATCCTCTTTTAATGTATGTGTATTACAGAAAAGTTTTTTTAAATTACGGGGGAAAAAAACACACGAAAATTGTAAAAAATCAGCCATAATCCTATCTCTTCTGTCAGCCTCAGAGACGATCCCCCATTCAAAGCATAGCATTCACCATCAGGGATTTCACTTCTCTGCTCTTGTAAACAGTATGTGTTTACTTTAGGTCTCCCGGGTGTGATATTTGCCCAGGCGCAAACTTGTGGTTCTTCAAACTTCAAAGACTCTTAAATGCTATGCAAATTTTAAAACATCCCTCTACATTTTCTCAGATTTTCAGATATTAACCTACGAATGATTTGGAAGGGATGGTAGTAGCTGCTCTTATTATGAATTATTTAAAAGGGCAGACTCAGGTATGAATCACGGTGTATGTCCCATTTATCCCAGCACTTCAGGGAATGAATGAACTAGCTCGAGTTCATCACGGCTGCATCTGTCATCCAGGGAGTAAGTGTATGTTCAAACACCAGTGCATTCTGCCCATGAATAGGAGAATGGAAATTTACTCTACTCTGCCATGTGTCCTGACATGGAATAGTCTAACAGGTAGCCACTCTTTAAATGATTATATTAGAAAGTATTTTGTCGACAGCAAATTCCCTAACCACCTTCCCCAGCGAAGAAAAATAAGCCTGTCTCATTGACACGGGTGAGCCGGAGTGACGAGATGGCAGAGAAAGGGGCTGACGGTTGGAAGAACACTTGTGGGATGATGTGATCTGGGGAAGCCTAAGGTCTTACACTCTTTTTATCTCTGATGCCTGAATGTGAGACTCCGGAAGATACAGAAGTCTTAAGAAGCCAGGCAGAAACCCGAACCATTTTCTTTTGCAGATTCTACGCAGCAGAGATTTCCATTGGATTGTTCTTTCTTCATAAAAGAGGCATCATTTATAGGTGTGTATCTGAAGCCCTTCCAGCGGCAGCACAGTGGAGAGGTTTGCTGGGCCTCCCTGGGCATGTCATTCTGTGATGGGGACTCTGGGCAAGGCATGGTGTGGGTGACCCCCAGGGAACACGGATCTGCTGGGACTACCTGTCCCTGCAACCTTGAGGCCAACCAGAGTCACTTCTGATCTTAGACCTGAAAGATTTTACATCTCATTTTTACTTTCCATAAGAAAACATGGTTTTCTCTCCTGACAGCTCCTTCCTCTGCCTTTTGTTTGGAATGGAGGTCAGAGCGATGGACAGAGAATTGCCACTATAGATACTCAGCAGGAAATGAACACGGGGAGCTGGGGAGAAGCAAGGGGGAGCTACTGAGTCAAATTCCTTTGTTGATTATCTGCAGTCCAAGTGGGGCACCAGAGAGAGAATGTCTTCCAGTATTGACTGAAGAGTACCTAAAGGACATTGGTACCAGCGGGAGGAAGGGTGTGAGGTGGTTTGAAACTCATAATTTCTCAAACCCAGCTGTGTTTCAGCCCCACCCCCCCCTACCTTGTGCACGATAATAAGTCAAATGAGTGGGATCTCCTCAGACCTCATAAACTGGATTGTCTGGATTCCTAGGAACAACCACTCAATGTGCCAATTCCCACCATATCCCAGACTCTGTGTGAGGCTCTGGAGATATAAAGACCCAAGAACTCCTGGCCCCTGGTCTCCAGGGACGTACAGTTTAAATGCCACTGAAATGGCAACTAGTTAAGTTTCCTTCTGTTTCACCAGCTCCAAAGCACACCCTGAGCTGTCGTGGGAAGGACTCTGATGTAGTCCTGCTTCTTTGCAGGGACCTGAAGTTAGATAATGTCATGCTGGATTCCGAAGGACATATCAAAATCGCTGACTTTGGGATGTGCAAAGAACACATGATGGATGGAGTCACGACCAGGACCTTCTGTGGGACTCCAGATTACATCGCCCCGGAGGTAGGGATCCCCGGTTCTTCCATTATAGACCAGGAAATGAAATGGCAAACACAACCCCCACTGGAATATGGGCTCATTCGTGAATCACCTAGGTCCGTGTGTGGGTCATGGCCACCAAGTAGACTGAACAATAGACGAACGTAGGAAGAGGAAATGGGAGAGCTCAATGCACACAGTAGGGCTCGTCTTGTCTCGAGGAACCTTGGTTTGTGTTAGGTGTGCATGTGGGCCAGCTGCAGGGTAAACTGCATTTCTCATGTGACCGTGGCCAAGGTGATTTAAGAGTCTCTGATGGGTGGCAGAGCGGCCTGTGAAGCACTCCCGGAAAAGCTGGGTTGCAAGGTGGTGGCAATAAGGGCTGTTTTAGCAACCTCTGAGGAATGCGTGCTCCGTGCTACTTGATGTTCAGTGTCTAATTCAGGAAGAACCTCTGGGTTTGTTGAAAGGTAAATGGTTCCACGGTTTGAATCCTCCCAGCAGTGGGCTGTACTGCTGTGTCTTTGGTAGAACACGTACTGAGGAATCCTCTTCCTATCTTGGGAAGCTTCCTGTGTGCCCGTGATAGAATGGTGTGTGACCCTGGGTCAACATGAAGGCCACTTCCTGCCCTCACACAGCCCTGCAGATGCAGCAGCCTTTCCCCACCTGCGCCCCAGCCTGATGGAAAGTGTCTCTGTCAGCTTTTTTTTTTTGCCTCTGTGACTAAAAGGACCCAACCAGAACAACTGTAGAGGAAGGAAAGTTTATTTAAGGGCTCACGGTTTGGGAGGTCTTAGTCCACAGAAGGCCAGCTCCATTCCTTGGGGCTCACGGTAAGGCTGAACAACATGGCGGAAGAGAGAGGTGGAGGGAAGCAGCTCACATCATGATCAGAAAGTAGAGAGACTCCACTCTCCAGATACCAAATATATATACCCCAGAGCCACGACCCAGTTCCCACCTCGGCCACACCCTCCCTCTTCAGTGACCACTCAGTTAATCCCTATCAGGGGATTAATTCACTGATTGCGTTAAGACTCTCACAATACAATCATTTCTCCTCTGAAGTATCTTGCACTGTCTCACACGTGAGCTTTGGGGGGACACCTCATATCCAGACCATAACAGAAACTGGTGCAAAGTCGGACCAGCCCGAGGTCTTCATAGAGCCCCCCTAATGGCTGTGGACTGTGGATCTCACATCTGTCCATCATAGTGGCCCATGCACTTGTCTCAGACCAAGAGGGAATACCGGGAAAGACAAGCTCGGAGTCAGACCTCTGTGAGCTTCAATCTGCTCTTGTCTGTGGACTGTGGGAACTCAGGCTAGTCTCTTAGCCCCCCGCACCTGCCTTTCTTCAGTGGTGAGTTAGGGATAATGGCACATTCCTGCTAAGAACTGCTACAAGGACTAACAGGCCTCGTGCAACATTTGGCACCTAGTAGACCCTTGTTATTTGTACCTAATATGACTCGCAATGGTGGTCACTGTTTCAGAAAGAAAACTGAGTTTTATTCTTCTCTTAAGGGCTTTTTTGTTTGTTATTTTCTTAGACCACATTCAAACAGACTGCACTTGGGAAATCAAGTTCTGATGACATGGCCATAGGCGACATGTCATCTTGACATATAAGTTATTGGAGGTTTCCCCTCAAAAGCTCAACTCATTGGTACCTCAGGCATAACTTGAACTTAAATAGTCACATTTTTCAATGTGACAAATTGATGGTACAATAAAAACTACTCCTCTGGATGTAGTGGGGATTCCGCAGCCTCCTACTGACTGACAGGTGCTGAGCACCAGGGAACAACCCACCAGATGCCATATAGATTGGTGGATGGCAGCATTTCCAGGAGTGAAGGTGACTCTGAACCTCGTCTCTAGTAAGGCCAGGTCTGCCCATCACACGGTCAGCTTCCTGCGTGACGGCGCCAGGGTTGACAGGGTCCACTTTCCGCAGAATTAAGATTCACCCATTGGAACGGCTGGTCTTTGCTGCTCAGTGTCCTTCCTACGTATGAACTTCCTGTTGCTACTGCATCAAACAGCCACAGGTCAGCAGCTCGGAACACAGGGGGAACCCAGAGCCCTGGAGGTCAGAATCAGTCTCTGAGTTAAAGTCAAGTTGTTGGCAGAGCCGTTCCTCTGGAAGCTTCCAGGGAGAACCTGTTTCCTGGCCTCCTCCCAAAGCTAGAGGCCGCCTCTTTCCTTCTCAGGGTGCCTTCTCCCATGTCCCCTGCCTCCTGGCATCTTCTGGCCCCTCTCCGTCTTCTCCAGCTCCAACCCCAGCTTCCCTCTTCTCTAACAAGGACGTTTGGTTCTGCTGGGCCCCTGGGTGATCTGGGATCATCTTCCCACCTCAAGAGCCTCACTGTGTACCTGCAGAGTCCTTCTTACTATGAAAAGGTGACGTGGCAGGTCTTGGGGACGAGGACGGGGACGTCATTCACCCTTAATCACACTTGGGGCAGATCTGGGGAACTTGGGGCCTCTTCATACTCAAGGAACAGCCTGCTCTCGCTCCAGATGCCTTCCTTCCTCTCTTCTCTTTACGCCCAGTAATAAATGGTGTGATCACCGTTTATTGAGTGCTTGCTGTTTACCAGGTGCCACAGATACTTTCCCTCACTTATTCCTCCTCACAAACCCCACCAGGGAGTTCCCATGGGGCCACTGTTTCAGCTGAGGTGATTGAGGCCGCAGTGACTCATGTGAGCCCCCAATGGTAAGAAACATCATCATCCGCCTTCCTGCTCAGTGACTACTGAGCCATGAAGTATGCAGTCCGCCTTCTGGAAGCTTCCTGTGCCACGCAGTTTGCCTTCAGGGATCCAGAAGCACATCCGGCTGCCCTCGGGTGTGGCAGAGGTGGCACTCTGCAGACATCAGCGGGCACAGCTGGGTCTCGGTCCTAATGACTTTACTGAGCCCACGGGCCGCTCAGTTGGGACAGAGTCATGTGACTTCAGGTCTTGTCTGCTTTGCTGGCCTTTTTTCCTGGTTGCATTCAGGAAGTTGATGCATTTGGCCTCAGGAATACCTGCGGTATCGGGAAAGACTGAACAGGTCCAAGGTTTCAGGATTTTCTCAGAGGTTGCAGTCATTCTGTCTCCTGTGAAAATCTTCCTGTCAGGCAGGGGCAGCATAATTATCATAGATGGCATTTCCCCTAATAGGCAGAGCAGGGGCTT